GTCTGGGTTCCCTCTGAATAAAAGTATTCACAAAAATACTTGTCTAGGCTTTGGTTACTTTCCAGATAAAAGCTTAATTTGTGCTTGGTTTCCATCTGCTTTGAAATTAGCCCAATTTAAATTAAACTCTTTCATACCTAGAAATTACTCTTCCATTACAGTGTTTGGACAATATGAGGAACTACTTATAAAACAGCTGCTTCTAGTGTGATGGTCTGACAGCTAAACAGAAGGTTACTTATTTCCAGAGATTTCTGACTGTTCATCCTTCTTTATAACTGTTTACACTTTTCTGCTATTAGCATTTCAAGGTTCAAATAATAAATTCACTGATTTTATATACATAAGATCATTGCAATTTACCCTTGAGGTTTTGGGTTTATATGTATCAGCTCTATCGAATGAAAGTGCTTTTCCACTGAAAACCTGTGACATCATGAATGATTCAGTTGACCTGAAGTTTGGCCCTCCCCTAACGTCTCCCTTTTTGGAAGTTCTACAAGTAGATTTAGAAGATCAGGTGCTTACTATTTCCCTTCCTAATCCTATGTATTATTTAAATATGAGATCATATGGTTATGGGCTATTTTTTTTTTTAGGGGAGTCAAGCTTATTAGAATAATTTTGTTACATGACTAGGAGCTTCTAGTTCTCGAAGTAAGAAACACTCCAAAAAACATCTATCACTATCTTACCTGTACTGCAATTTGTGTTCCATTGGATGTAGCCAACAATGTGACAGGTCTAGTTTCTGTAGTCACTAAATGGTGCCCATGTTGCTGATGTCCCATGTCTGAGGAGGCGCTATGAAATGCTGCTAAGTCTTGAGCCACAATAGCAACCTTCAGTATCAAAGGAAGAGAGTCAACTGGATGACAGATCTGTTACAGTTACTGACCTCATACAATGGTTATCTTCAAAGTTAAATTCAAAGCTGTGATCATTCATGAGCATAATTTTATTGAGTAAAAGATACATTTTTTTAAGAAAAGCTGCCATCGTTGTGTTCTCAAAGTTAGCTATTAGCTCTCAAAATACGAATATCCTCAGAACTGCACAGAAATTCAGTAAATGTGCCTATAAAGCCGGTGATTATTTATACATACAGAGCATAGTGATTAGTAAGTACATTCATTTTCATCTGGTGCATTTTTAGAACAGTGGAATGCATTATTAAGTTAAAGATTAAAAATGATGTCACTATATTTCTACTTTAAAAGCTAGCTATTGTACTTGTATATTAAGAACAAACCCACAAATACGTACTTAAACAAACACTTCCTACTTGCCAAATTAATTACAGTCCCGTAAGACTTAGTTTTGCCACTTATTTACTATAAGACTTTGGGGAAAACACTTAACATTTCCAGGTCTTATTTTACATGCATGCACCTAAATGAATTACCAGACTGGTACCTTAATTTTTTTCTTGGTGCCCAATTGTTTTTAGAACATTCTGCCATATGGTGATGTATAGCAGTGGAGTCGAACACATCATATGTATGAGCATGAATATGAATAAGCATTCCCTTTATGTGAGGGGAATGCTATGGCCAGATGTTGAAAACTGGTTTACTTCGATAAATCCATGTGAATGATGGAACTGCGATAGCTTAGACAGAATCATAGAATAGTTAGGGTTGGAAAGGACCTTAAGATCATCTAGTTCCAACCCCACTGCCATGGGCAGGGGCACCTCACACTAAACCATGTCGCCCAAGGCTCCGTTCAGCCTGGCCTTGAACACAGCCAGGGATGGAGCATTCACAACTTCCTTGGGCAACCCATTCCAGTGCCTCACCACCCTCTCCCTGTAAAGAACTTCTTCCTTATATCTAACCTAAACTTCCCTTGTTTAAGTTTAAACCCATTACCCCTTGTCCTGTTGCTACAGTCCCAGATGAAGAGTCCCTCTCCAGCATCCTTGTAGGCCCCCTTCAGATACTGGAAGGCTGCTATGAGGTCTCCACGCAGCTTCTCTTCTCCAGGCTGAACAGCCCTGACTTTCTCAGCCTGTCTTCATACGGGAGGTGCTCCAGCCCTCTTATCATCCTCGTGGCCTCCTCTGGACTTGCTCCAACAGCTCCATGTCCTTTTTATGTTGAGGACACCAGAACTGGACACAATACTCCAGGTGAGGTCTCACGAGAGCTGAGTAGAGGGGCAGGATCACCTCCTTTGACCTGCTGGTCACGCTTCTTTTCATGCAGCCCAGGATACGGTTGGTTTCTGGGCTGCGAGCGCACACTGAAGCCAGGTCATGTTCAGCTTCTCATCAACCAGCACCCCCAAGTCCTTCTCCTCAGGGCAAAGATGCCTATTTTAGATCATCCTATAATGGAACATTACACATCTACATGGGATAATATCTTACCTGTTGTCCTTCAGTGCCTTCAGCAGTAACCATTGCTACAGAATGTGTTCCTGCAGAAGAGATGACAGCATCATGGGCAGGTACTGTGATGGTGGTGCCATCTTGTGTTACCATAGTGATAGTATTGCCAATGGCCTGCATATCTGCTTGGGTTATGTTGACCTGAAACACAAAATAATTCCTGAAGTAAAAGAAGAAGGTTTAATTGCTGCCCAAGTAATACCCGAGTCTTAGTTTTTGACAACATTACGTATATTTTTAAGTAAGGTTTGAAAAAAGCCCTGGTGATAAGCAATGGAAGTGCAACAGCATATATCAAACAAATACCTG